CTACTTGGGAGGCTGAGGCAGGAGAATTACAAGTTCAAGGCCAGCCTGGGCAACTCAGGAAGACCCTCTCTCAAACTAGAGTCAAAGTGTCCTACTCCCCCTCCCCCCTGCAGTGTGACTAAAGTCAGTAACTGCTCCCTGCACAGCTCACACTGTCCCAACACATCCTGTGGCACACCAGGGGTAGTCACATTTGTACACTAAGCCAGATTCAGTCACCTTCCTGTCACTTCGATAGGCAGAAGAGTCAAAGCAGGCACGAAAGGAACAGAGATATTTGGTTTCAAGGACTCAGCTACATAATATTCTATTTCAGAGTTGGCAAACTGTAGCCCAGAGCCTCTTTTAGTAATGGTCAAGAACGGCTGCCTTATTTTTAAAGGGTTGAAAGAGGAAGGAGAAAAAGGACGAGGGGACGAGGAGAGACAGGTGGGGACGGGAGCAGGGAGAAGCTGAAGAGGAGTACAAGGAAGAAGAGGCAGGTTTTGCAGCTTATGAAACCTGTAGAATTTACTCTCTGGCCCTTTATGGAAAAAGTCTACTGACTTTTCTCTATTCTTAAGCCAGAATTCAGGAATTCAATCTACCTGTTACTCAATATGCTACCTTTCAGGAAGAAACGAAGGCGTTCACTTGGGCTGCGGTCAAGAGTCACCTGGTTTCCCTGCCACCACCCCCACAAGACACATCACGAGTCTCAGCTGCTGCTCTTCTCTAAGTCAAGGACTTATGCGAGGAGGGACTGAACCCAAGTACCTGCTCTGTCTTCTCCGCCTCCACCTTGAGCACCGGCTCCTCCAGTTCTTCATCGTACACGCGCTAAACAGGCAAGCAGATTTAGGTTCAAAGGTCAAAGCAGCATCCAGAGGTAAACTACAATGTATTAATTCAATATTCAGTCACAAAAAGGCCAGATGCAGAAGGAAATAGTCAGCAAATGGCTGAGGCCATGACCAGTGGGCCATGGACAATAGGCAAAGGACAGTAGTCCGTCCACAGCTAAAAGAAAAAAGATGCATGAGAGGGAAATGACTAGGAAACAGGAAGAAGAGTTCAGTCCCATGGCTGGCCTGAGAGTTGCCAAAACAAGACAGCGGGTTTTACACTGCCTTTAACCTAGCACACATGGTACAGAGCAAAGGGACAGGCATTCTTCCCCAGGGCCACAGAGGATGTCACCTGCTACAACTTAGCGAGTAGGTCACAAGACATTAGCACCTAGAGCGATGGAAAAGTAAAATTGATTTTCATTCTGTTAACATGGCTGATAAAATTTCTGTACCTCTTTCACATGAAAGCAGAAAGTCAACTCCACTGGAATAAGACAGTGGCCATGGTTATAAAACCTTGTGAATACCCTAAAAC